CATGTATATAAAGTTTCTAACTCAAGATGTGGGTTTCTGTTTCATTTTCAGATATGGGACACACACACATGGACGTTTTAAGAATTTGGGAATTCCTGGTCCAAAACCTCTGCCTTTTTTGGGGAATCTTCTGTCCTATTCCAAGGTGAGTTGCACTTGTGAAATTTCTTTTATTCTATTTTCAAACACTAGTCTATATTCATGGATAACAATGGTGCTTGGAAGAAAATTCTGAAGTTTTTGTCTTCTATAGAAATTGTGGATTCCACTGGCAGGCACAGTAGGTTTTCCCTGAGACTGTGTGTTGAAATCTGTGGAGTCTGAGTTTGCCTCAATAGCAGAGAAAAATTTTCTACGTACTCAGGAAGAAGTACTCAAGGTCTGGAATTCATGTGACATAAACATTGAAGGACTTTTCTTTTTTCCCAGTGCATACTCCTTGGAGGCTCAGTTGTAATTTATCAGCATTTAGATAAATGCACCCAAGGGTTGCCTTGGAGTAATTCGCAAACATTCTGTACCACAGATTCAGCTTCTCAAATTCATCCCAGTGTTCATGGGTTCATTTTCTACCTACTGAATTGTCCTAGAGTTCCAAATTGTCAAATAGTACAAGTTTTCCACATAGGAAAATTTGCAAATATTTAATTTTTGTCTGAACCTGCAAAATGTTCTTAGATTAACTCTTGATTTTAAACCTGGCTTTTCTTTTTTAATTTTTATTTACTTATTTTGTTATTAATTTTATTCAGAAACAAACAGCAACGTGACAGTTCGAAACGGGATAGTAGTACAGTTACAATAACTTATACATTGTGTAGTCTTCATATTAGTTATTTTTTTGATTATTGAACACTTAACAAACATTACTTCATTCATGCATGCATAGCTAAGATAGAAGGTGTCACCATCTCATTTCACACATGCTATGGCTGAGTGACAAAGATGTCAACTTGTACAGCCACCCAGTGCTAATGAGTAAGATGAGATTTAAAATTAGGCCATTCATGCAATGCCGTATCTTTTGTGTATGCATATCTGGATGTTTTACCATTTGAAGTATTTTATCAAACCTCACGTAATTGTCATTCTGTCATTGGCCTAAGAATCACTAGATATTAACTAGTTAACCTTCGATTCCTTCTCCCAAGGATATTATTCATAAGAATGGAAAGAAAGGGAAAATGCACAGTGAGAAGCCCCACTCCATCTGTTTGGGAAACCTGCTTACCACGTGCTTTGCTCTCAATACTCTTCTCCACTCTCATTCAGGAAGTAAAAAAAATTCTGATAAAGTAGAAGCTGCTACTAGTGGAATTCAACATTTTGTCTTAACTTTTCACACTGGATTATTGAGCACCAAGGTTCAATTCTAGTCTGTTTTTCCTATCATCTCACGTTCCTAGGTGATTTCATTAATGTCTGTGGGTTAAATTACCATATATGCACTTTTATTCTCCAGTATCCTCTACAACTCATTTATCTTCTTTAAGCTACAAATCCCTGTATCCTATCTAACCTCTTCTCTTTTTGGAAATTTAATTGCCATCTGGAATTCAACAGATCCAAAACTGAACTCGGACACTTCTCTACCTAATAAATCTAAATTTAAAGGATAACAAGTTAAATGATGATTTGAAAAGGAAGAGCTAAGAAGTTGGAAAGAATAGGTGAAGGGAGGAAAGCCAATTTAAGGTATCTTTACGATATTCCAATGAACGGCACCACCAGTTATCAGAGTGTCTGGCTTGAGTGCTTTTCTCATATGACCCAGCTGATTATTCATCATGGAAACCCATGGCTTTACACTCTAAATAGCTAAGTACATGTGCTTTGCTCCACTGCTTCTCAAGGGCTGACTGAATCTTGACATCTACTCATAAAGCAATTCACAGGATTTCAAAGGGAGTCTCCATATTTCTTGCCCACACATTCAGTTCGAATGCCATGCTGAAAAAGAGAAGTGAACATTTAAATATGAAACTCTGGATATCCTTCTCTTTCTTTCCAGTAGCTAATGTAATATGGATCCAGAAAGCACAAAGTTGCTCATTGTTCTGCCATGTGTGATGGTAATTGATAAAATATTTATATTTTCGTGTATCACTTTTCTTTACTCTAATTGGGGAAATAGTAATTATGCCTCTTCCACTGGGTTGTTGTACTATATAATGAATGAAAAAAAAAGTTGTGTAAGAGCTGTGTTAAGGTTATTTGTTCTTATGTTTTTTTCTTTTTTCCATGTTTTTATTGAGAAACAAATAGCAACAAGACAGTTTCAAATCTGATTAGTACGACAGTTTCCATAATTAACACATTGCATACAGTTGTCTTAGTGGTTATTCATTGTACAAGATGCACACATAATATTCTCTCCAAAAACATACTAGAACAAATCTTTCTATTCATTGAATTAAGAGAATGTGGCTGTATATCTATCCTAACTATTTTGAATATACACATACGAAATGGGCTTTCATTTGTATCACCATTTTTGTTTTAAATTTTTTTTTATTTATTTGAGAGAGAGAGAGAGAGAGAGAGAGAGAGAGAGAGAGAG